ACATTTTAATACCAATTAAGGCCTAAGTTTTATTTTGAAGAATTCAATGCCTTTTAAGACTTTTTAAGGACCCGCGGGAACCCTGTAATCATTAGTTGCAGCTCTAATGTGGACACCCATTTTTTTTAACCATCTATTCCTCCATTTTAAAACCTGGATATGAACCCAATTTGCCTTTTGTACTGCAGAGACAAGTTAATCAGAACAGACAGAAGATTGGAAAAGACTCTGTTCTCCCTGCAAAGGATTGCTAACCACAGATCTCGTTCTTTTCAATAAGACTTAGATGTGTCCCCCCCCGCTGCCGGATAACCTGACCAGCGTACCTCGGTGATGCCTGGATCATGAACAGGTGCTGCATGCGGAGGGAGGTGAGCCGACTCAGGAGGTCCTGCACCTGGGACAACATTTCTCGGATGTGTTCGCGGGTTTGGTTCTGGATGACAGACGGAGCCAGCTGAAACTGGCTCATGGCCACCACGTCGCCCTCATCCCCCATCTCAGTGACCCGTTGAGTGAGAAACGCCTCAAGCTGCACCAACAAACAAAGCCGGAGGAGAGAACAGGTCGCTCAAATACTGAATGTAGGAATTATCAATAAGCAAAGTATTGTTCTTGAATAATAATTTAAGTTTAAATTCCTGAACTTATCACATAAAAAAAAAAACAAAAAAAAAACTTCAGTATTTCATTAGATTTCTAGTTACAGGCCCACAGATAATGGCTACTATAATTACACAGTAAAGACCTTTTATTGCAAGATGGTCATACTTGTGAAGTCCAAAAAAATTCTGTATGATTTGGATTTCTCTTTGTCTCAAAATAAAGTTGGTAGGTTTGGATTTCTTGTCATTAAGAAGGATCATCACACTTATCAGATTTATATGCATATATTATCTGTGAAAACCAGATTTTTCTTTCACTTTACAACTAGTGGCGACTGTTCGTGGGTCTTCCACATTAAATCCCAATAAAATACTAATAATTTGTCGTTGTAAAGAGTCATTTCTTTGCAAAAGGAGAAAAAAGTTAAAGGAGTGTGTCTCAACAGGTTGGATTGATTTAGTTGCGGATGTCATCTTATGGTTTTTACCTCCATAAGCTCATCAATGAACTGGCTGCGTGACTGGGAGTTTTCCAGTATACTCAGAGCATCGTCCCCCCTCGCCACACCCTCGGGACCTGAAAGCAAACACACTTACCCCTCAGCTTCTTCAACTTCTGGATTCATCATGACCGTTTTTTTGTTTGTTTTTTTTTTTAGAAAAAAACTTACAGTCTGTGCCTGTATCCACAATTTCTATCTCAACTGGAGCTGCTTCACCGTCGCCCCAGTCGATGCCGGAAGCACCAGGGTCCTGTTTTAGGGAGACCAGACGTATCACTGAACAAACTGGATTCATTAAAAGGCAAAGCAACTGGCATTTCTTGTTATTTCCTAAAAAGAAATGATTGCAAACCAACAAATGGCTGATTTTTTTAAAGCCAATATTACGTTTTCCTCCTCTATTTACATGATTTAAAAAGACGCAATAATAAAAAATGTTCTACAAATGCTGTAGCTGCCATCAAAGTCAGATTAAATAAATAAATAATAGATTAATAAATATTTAAGTTAAAAATATAGAGTTCATAAATACATTTCTAGTAATAAAGGTTAAATATTACAAGCATAATTTGATGTGTTTCTTGTATATTGTTTGTTTGATACGAAGGAACAAGTCTCAATTAAGGGGGGAACCAAAAGGTTGTGGCCGCGGGTTGATGGAGTGTTACCTTTAAGGGACGGTACCTGGGGATCTGTAACGTGGTTCTGGAACAAACTATCAGGTAGACACCTCGCTGATTCCTCTGCCTAAGCCACCAGTGATAAGGAGATTTGATAAAGTACATAGTAAAGGACTGAAGATTCTTATTTTCTCTCAAGGGAAAGCGGCAAATGAGGTACATTTTAGTTTAATTTACTGTTTACTTGGTTTGACCGTTAAGATGTAATTTCTGTTGAGTCATATATTGTATGGTCGCTTTTTTCCTTAGATGTCTTTACTGGGAAATTATTAGTTTTTTTTTTTGCTTTTCTTTCTGTATGTTTTAACATTTCTCACGGCATACCAACATGGTTCTTGTGTGATTAAAGCCAGTAACTAACAGAACGACTTGGTTTCCTGATTTTCGACTTGAGAGGGAATTACAAATACTGTAAACATCTATCAGGAAATAAAGAAAATATCCATAATGGATAACAAATTAAAGGAGAAGCATTGCATGTGCTTCATGGGATTTCAAGGTATGGCTATAGGGTGGGAGTGTTGGCCTAGTGGTTGGAGCAGTGTGCTTTTGCTCTGAGAAGGTTGCAAGTACCCGGTTTGATCCCCACATTGCATCCTGGATTCCTGAGCAAAAACCTTAACACCCACACTGCTCCACGGGTGCCGCAAATGGCAGCCCACTGCTTCCCAAAGGAATGGGTTAAATGCAGAGTGAATTTCGTTGCTTTTTACTTGACAATGTGATGACAATAAATTTGCATTCTATTCTATTGAATGCAATAAAGAATCAGCAAATGGATGCACATATCTGTATACAGACACCAGATACTGGCCCCAAATATCGATCGGATGGTGAATTGGTCTACTTCTAGTAGAAACAAGCTCCAATCTAGTCAAATTTTTAGCCTGACGTAGTCCTACTCAATTCTAGTCAGAATATGAGTCTGATACTGCTCCATAGAGCTGTGATTATGGGGCGTGTTTTGAACGAACCAGGAAAAAAAATGTCTCTGCACTCAATTGGATAGACCTACAACCAATAAGAGCAACCGAGTGCGTGACGTATGTTAAGCAACGCATAGTTGTTGTCAACAAAAATCAAAGCGTGCAGTTGCACGCCTAGAATAAAAAGATGCGCCTTGATTGCGTTTCTCTGTTCCTCTTTTAAAATTAATTTGCTGTCGATATCTTCTAGAACAGACCTAATAGCAGAATCTACACACCTCAACTCTCCAACGGCAGCCATTGTTGTCACCCAAGCGCGCTTTGGTCACGTGGTTTATTACGTTACTGTTGATCATCTGTCCATCATCGTATAAAGCCCGCCCTGACAATTTGATTGGCCCGCCAGATATTATGCGAGCATACTCGCGCTACTGTTCAGCAATGCCAGACCGAACTTCCCGACCTCAAACGTTGTGGGCGGGACTAAGTTCGAAATGGCACCCAGGCTATCAAATTTTACCATTAAAAGTAAAATTACTGCTTTGTTATCAGCAAAATTGCTGCCGTATATAATTTGAAGTGAACAACAAAAAATGTATTGAAATGAAAAGGAGGGGGAGTCCTGAACCTGTTACCTTTGCATCATGCTGTCATGGATGCTCTTAACTGATCTGTACGAAGTGTGTTTAATTGATTTAAGCTTGCAGCCTGTTCTCCAGTCAGCTGAGTTATCTCGTGCTTAACCATCACTCAGGTTGTTTGCCAATCTAACCTCAGATGTCGGCTCCAGAGAGATGCCCCAGTCGATTCCCTCCTCCACTGCGATCCCGGCGGTCACGCCCAGATCATCTGATGCTTTATGGCCAAAATCCCCCCAGTCAATCTGAGATGGTTAAAAAAACAGGATGTTGAGATATAAAAATGTGAAAATAAACAAAGCTCTAATTTAAGTCAGTCTGGAGAGAAAAATCATTTTATCTATTAACAAGACTGTGAAACAGAAAATAAAGAATTCTCCAAAATTTCCCAGTAAAATCTGACCGCTGTGATGTGAATTAGAGCGCAGTTTAGATAAGACATGCATGACTCTAAATATTGACACGAATCAAACCAACCGTGTCCTCTGTTGCTGCATCAGGAGGCGCTTCCTCCACGACCGGCCTTTCAACCAGGCTGGGGGCTTTCCCTGTCCTCCACTCATAAAAGGTAACATTCCCCATCTTCTGGGTGAACGTTAGTATAGGCAGGACCGGCTCTGACCTTCAAACAACAACAACATGGGAGCTTATAAAAGAAAATCTAAGCCAAATAAACACCCATGTGATTCATTCCCCCGAAAAGAGCACATATTTACTTTGGAAAGATTGGTGGTTTAGTCAAATCCTGAAGTGGAGAAAAACACCAGAGGAATCAATCTTTTCACTGGTGTTGTAGTCAAGACCACAGAAACCGAGATCAAGGAGAACCAAGACCTTACATAGGCTTGGTCTTGTCTTGGTACTCATTGGTCTCGGCTGGTGTGGTTTTGACTACAACACTACACTTGAAAAATGATGTAGAAATAAGTAAAAATGTCTTAAATTAAGTGTATTTAACCTTAATTTGAGGAGGTAAATGAGATATTTTGCCAACTGAATGAGTATTTTTACTTTTAAAATAAGATAATATGTACTTGAAAGAAGACATTTCAATTGTATTTTTTTATTTTAAGTGTAAATTGTCTTGTTCCATTGGCAAAATGGCTCCTTTGCCTTCTAAATCCAAGAGCAAATGCACTTATTTTAAGAAAAAAATACTTATCTAGATTTTGATTTTTTCCTGTGTAAACTGATCAAAACCAGAAGTTAAGGAAACAGAAAGGCTCTTTTAATAGTAGCGAGAAGGCTTAGGGATCGCTGTAGAAACAAAGTGTTTATACTTCTTTTCCCAGTCTGCTCACACATCTTGCAGGGCAGAAGTTTCAACCCATTAAACATTTCTTTGAAATTTGTTCTTCGCATCTGCACGACTTTTTAAAATCTTTGGTTTATTGAAATCTTTCAAAAAATGTTTCTTTGGTCTACTGCTGCTTCTTATAAGAAGTCTAGAAGGGGCTCTCATCAAGACAGACTAAGCTTTAGTTTTTCTTCTACATGCAAAACTTAGTGTTGGAGAGCATTAGCACTGCAGGAGACCCTGAGTAGAAGACTTCACTGCGAAACATGATGTTCTGTGAGGAAGCTGCTGAAGATGAAAGGTGATAGGACTGGCAGAGCTTGGGTGATGTTTACTCACCAATCACACAGAAAATTTGTGAATGCAGCGTAAAGCTGAATTTGTTCCTCCAACTTTGCTGCATCCCTCCCAACCTCCTCCAGGACTGCAGGTAGGTCCTTGACTAAAGCCTGAAGCTCCCGCTGAACATTTTCCCCCTGTCAGAACCGATAGGAATCATTTTGTTATATTTATTTTTGAATTTTTAACACTGGATTCACATGTAATTATCTTTCATTCTTGCACTCACAGTAATGCCGTACTGTTTGCAGGCAGCATAGTAGCGTTCCCTCAGCTCGGCTGCTGAGCTCTGACACTCCACCTCCCGCCTGCTGAGCTCCTGCTGCAGCTGCTGAGCTTTGGTGATCTGCTTCCTGAGGGCCGGCCCTTCATAGCTGACATTTCGAATCAGCAAGCTGGCCACCTCCGCTGGGTTGTAGGATTTAGAATTTTACAGAGTTAAAAATCGTCATTTTCACACAGCTTACTAGAAAAACTGCTAACTATCTGTAAGGCTCTGATAAACCAAACCATCTAAACCAGAGAAAATGGATTTTCTGTGATCCACTCACCTAAATAAACATTATCTGCTTCATAAAGCGACACAATCTCCTGCCAGTCCTGTAAACCAGACCAAAGCTGTTACTTTCTGACAGATTTATTCCGGCTGTGTCAAAAAAAGTTAAAGAATGTTAGCAGCAGTACATCAGGTTTGTTTTACCTTCATTCTCTGAGAAGAATATCTGCCAAAGATATTCTTGGACGAAGCCTCAGTTCCCTTCAGTATCTCCACTATTCTCAGACAATGAAAGTAGTGGATGTCTGTTGGTGGAAATATCAAAAAAAGAGATTGACATTTATTTGAAAAGCAAAAAAAAAAAAATGTCAAGATGGCTTCCATTATTTTATGACAGAAGATTTCACATCAATACCTTCTTTGAGTAGGTAAAGGGTATATTTATATATTCATAAAATCTTTACTGAAATGATAAAAAATGATTAAAAAAATCATATCAGTCTTTTTCATGTATTTCAAAGGATACAAAATTAACTATTTCTTGCTTAAACTGATTATGTGAGCATTTCTGAAGAGGTTACTTTACATTCAATAGTCTTTTTCTTAAAAATTATTTTGGACCCCGGATTGGTTAAAAAATTCGAAACAGATTACACCGCAGCTTAGATACAATTGCAGCAGGGAGTAAACAGTCAGACCATTGATTAAACAACTAACTAAAAAAAAAAATCCCTATGACTTTACTGCAACATTTAATTTCCCTTTGGGATTAATAAACTATTTTCTTTATTTTTATAGATAATATCAAATCAGTGTCTGTGACTTAATATTTATCAGGTAAATATTATACCCACAGAGTAAAAGAAAGTATCCTTTACATTTGATGTGTCATCTAACCCAAATATTTATGATTAGTGCGGATCATTCAAATCAATAAAAACTGTTTTCTTTATTTTCTCCATGTTTGAGAAGTTCCTCATTTGCATTTAAAAAGTCTGCATCATAAAATGTCCTGTGAGTAAATGGGGCTCATAGAGCTACATTAATGAGGATTTAAAACCAATGCATTGTAGATCTACTTTATATAGAACAACATTTAGTTTAAATATGAAAAGGTAGGATATAAAAGCACACTATTCTTTCTGTCAGTGTTGACAGAGGAAAAAAAGGAAACTTACAGGATCCAGAGAGAAGCTGCTTGATCTCCTCGTTTTCTGGCATGTCCTGAATGGCGGCATTGATCTTCTCTCGTACCGTTTTCACTGTACTTTGCCACTTAATGTTACAGTGACGCCTATCAAGTAGCCAGTCTGGGAAGAAAAAAAAGGAATATTTCAAATGAAAAGAGGCCAGGATTGCAGGATTATTAGAGACATTTCTAGCAGTTAGAAGGCAAGGCAAATTTATTTGTATAGCACAATTCAGTACAAAGACAATGCAAAGTGCTTTACATGATTAAAATATAGGAAAATAAAACAGAATCAAAGCAAGTAGGGAAAAAAATAAATAAAAAATGCAGAAACAAAAAAGAACATTAAAAACAGTTGTACTAAAGATAAAAAAAAAGTTGAACTAATGATGTTTCAGTTGAACTGTTTAACTAGAACAGTCGAAGGCAATCCAAAACAAATGTGATTTTAATCTTGATTTAAAGGAACTTGATTTAGAAGATCACACTTAAACAGCAGATTATAAGCTTGATGCCACTGTCACTTCATGAATATTTAGTTTAAAGGTTTGCTGTCACTACCTGCTTATCCCAGACAGGCGGACACTGCAAGTCACCAAGTAACCAATTAGAGAAAAACACTGAACTAAAGGCATTATTTGATAACTAGGGTAAACTGGGCTTTGATTTTTACAAAATGCCTTCAGATGACATATGTTGTGAATTTCCTCTACAAAAGTTAACAGATTTGAATAGAACTTAAATCAAATTCAATTTTATTCTGGACAGAATAAAAACCATTTAAATGTGAACTTTAAGTGAGTTATAAAAGCAACCAAAGGGGAAACAATATAAAAGATCTCTGGATATATACTCATGACGTAACGACGGCATCACTTTTAGAGATTGGGTAGGGTAATATAAAGAAAAGAAGAATAAATCATATCTTTAAGAACGAGGAGTGAGAGGTTCATCACCTAACAGCTTGCTGGTCTGGATGTCGATGGGAAGATTTTGAATATTCTGGAAGAGAAAAAACAACACATCCAAAATGTCATCATCTCTCAATGTTTTTGTTCAACTTTAGCAGCAGTATAGATAATCAAATGCACAAAAAGACAGAAAGAATAAAGACTGCACCACAAATCTTTAGGAAAAAAGGTTGGATGTTGTCCAGTGAATCACTGGACTTTGCTTGTTTCTTAACTAGCTGAAGTTAGCTAGCAGGCTATCAAAACCTGAAACGGAGAAAGTATCGTTTAGCTCACCTCCATCGTTTTCCCGCTTATTCAAAAAGAAAACGCTTCCAGGATGTCAATTTATCATTAGGTTTTGACATTTATATCTATGTTTTTTTTGTGTGTGAAACTCATCAGGTTCTCAGTGTTGATGTGACACGTTAGATGAAACCTCGCCAATGGGAAAGGACGACGTTAGCTTGCCCTCAGGAATCAACCAATGGGGATTTACTTTACTAACAGCTGTATCTGATTGGTAGAAACTCATTGAAGCTCATTAGCTGCAATGTTAAACACTTTCGCTAGATGGAGACAAATAGCGGTTACATCTTTTCATCTCACTACTAACAAATTTTATAAAAATAATATCAAGAAAATGTAAATGTACAAATTTTACATTAATTTGCACCACGTCAAGTCAAAGTTCAAAGTAAAACATATGGCATAAAATATTAAATAAAATATATAAATAATATGAATACATTTTGATTAAAAAGTATGTTTGATAAACAGCAAAGTTAAGAACAATTAAATCATTGGACTAATTGGAAAACTGTTCAAACAGGTTTCCGCCTCAGTGGTCAATCTGACTACTTTGGTGATCTGGAGAGTTCAGATGTAACAAGTATCTGAGTTGCTAATAGACAAGTAGAACATATTTTTAAATTAAGCTTTAAAAAAAAAAAAAAAGAAGAAGAAGAAGTCAGGGCAGTCATTTAAATACTGTCATATGAATTTCAATGTCTCTAGATTTGGAAATTATATTTTTTAGTTTATTGATTCTGGTTTAAAGTCTAGAAAATTCTGCTGCAATATTACCAATCACAATTAGAAAAAAAAAAGTGTGAGATTTTGGAAATTTTTTTTTGGCAACATCCAAGATAGTAGTACTATGGTGTAGTAATAATAATAATTTCTGAGATCCTCTATAGTTTCTGCCTCCTTGGGTCTAGATGATCACCTTATTTTAACCCTGCATTTAAGTATCACTTCTTAGACATGTAATCCCTGGCACTTTTTACTCATGTGTGATTAGATAGCTACCAGCTTCTGAAATGATTAAGCAAGCGTAGGGAATTAGTATCTGGATTCCTTTTCTAATCACACATATGGATCAATTAATTGATTTTTTAAAATCGTTTTGCTTTTTCCATACTTAAATGGTTTAGAATACCGTAGTTTGTATGTTCTCCTTGTGCATGATTGGGTTCTCTCCGGGTACTCCATCTTCCTCTAACAGTCCAAAAACATGACTGATAGGTTCACACTTCTCAAAATCAATTTTTTTTTGAGTAATAAAACTTACAAAACAACAGTAGTTACAATATGTAAGAATATGTTAAATAATAGTATACTTTTTACTTTATTTTCACTCAACCTCCAAATGACATGGCAGACTCAACAGATGGAAAATATTATTTAACCAACATGTCTTGATACAAAAAAGGGAGAACGTGTGAATATCTGATCAAAGATATGAAGAAGCTTTTTTTCATTAAATAAAGTTACTGACAATGGACAGAGTAGCCAGAAATTTTACTCAAGTAAGAAATTTTACTTAGGTTTACTCAAGTAAAAGTAGAACACTGTAAAACTAGTCCTAAAAGTACTTTTTTAAAAAGTTGATCACATAAATGTAACTAGTTACAAAATAAATCAAATAAACTTTGATAAACAAAATTTTTGGAAAGCATTATTCACTATTCGCAGCCTCTTGTATAACTACTGCCAGACTCATAAAAGAAAATATAAAAAGGAAAGTAAGTGAACCATTTTGAAGCAGCATATTTTAGCCTAAAATTTCAAGCATAGATACTGACAAAGACTCTATCATTCTATAAAGGTTTATAAAGACTTTTTAAAAACAGTTTTGGACTCAAGTGAATCCCAATAAGAGCCATAATCTACAAACTGAGAGAGAACTCAGACCTGGCAAATCTTTCCAGGAGTATCTGACCTTCTAAGTTACTCAAAAAAGTATGTCAGCGACTTTTAAAGCAGGTCACAAAAGGACCCAGAACAACATCTAAAGGCCTCACTTGCCCTAAAGGTCAGAGGTAAGGATTCAACAATATGTGAAGACACCTGCTGAACGAGAAGAGCACAACATTTATCTCTCATACAAAACATCTAGATACTTGAAAAGAATTTCAGAGAAAACATTATGAGGAGTGCTTTTATGAGGAGAACCTTTTGGAAGGCAGGCTTCCTGTAACATCTGGCAGAAAACACACAAAAACATGTCAGTGGAACATCACTTTAAAAGTCTCATATATGATGGTGGTATGCTGGTGGAGATACTCAGTCATCCAGGTCATAGTCATTCCAAAAAAGTTTAAAAACAATCCACTGGACACATTTTGAATTGAAAAAGCTTCCTGGATACGAGGCAAGACGTCCTCACATTTGTAAACAAAGTCCAGTGGATTGTTTTCTTTTTAACTTTTTTGGAATGGTGGTGGTAGTGTGATGGTCTGGGGCTGCTTGGCTGCTGGAACAATGAGCAGAAAATCCTGAAGGATGCATTTGGGACCTTCTAATACAATTGGATTGTGCTTCATGATGATTAAAGCACACCACAAAGTCCATATCTGAATAACCCACGCAAAACCTGTTATCACAAATACTTAATGGCAGCCTCCAGTGTAGGGAGTGATCCCTTTTTCACACCCACTTGAATTGATAGTTGTATCCACCCTCAGTGAATGAGATTTATTTTTTTTTAATGTTTCTTGTATTTATTTTGGTTATCTCTGATATCAAAATGTGTATTATTATCTGAAACATTCAACTGTCAGGGAAAAAAACCCCAGAAAAATGAAAGTTCTTTATGTATTCTATTTAATAAGCAATCAATTAATGAAATTAAGTTAGAAAGTCAAGACAATCTCCTGCTTCAATCCCTGCCGGAGCAATGGTAGAAACTCTCATACAAGGCCCTATTTTCAGCTCATTTGAATGGTCACCAAGGCATCCGCTTGCTGTCTGTGATTTTACACAAAGCCATGCAAAACACTTCTAAATCCCTCTCCTTTGCTCCAGTTCTAAGCTTCCAGTTTTGTTCACTCTAAAACTGGAAAAATATTGTTTTTCCTGCAGACAATTTCCTCTTTAAGAGAAAACAACATTCCCTTTCAAGGTGAGACAAAGAAAGATTTTAATTGCTCCTTGCAATGCTGAAGGTCGCTTGGTGACAATGTTGCAGCGCTGCTTTGCACTCAGCTGGGCGGGCCTTAGTTATGTGTGTGTTTGGGAAGGGTGTGCTTTTAAGAGGAGGACGTGGGGAGCAAGGCTGCAGGGTTAGGCAGAGGGAGAGAGATGCTACACCTGTTTATGATCACCTGAGGAGAAGACTCAGAAGATTTAATCAGCTGCTGCGTGAAGAGGGACAGAGTTGATCAACATGATGGGACACCTTTATATCTGAGAGAATCTCCTTCAGGCAGGCAGCTTATTGTCCCTGAGGTAAGAGAAGAGCTCCATGTGAAACCTGATTCGCGTCTGCAACAGATGGTAGTACCATGTCTGTAACGCTATGTATGAAAGAGTTTCAGTGATATAAGAGAAAATATTTCCTTAAACTCTAATATTGCCTTGAAATTTAAAAAACTGCAACCTTTCAGTTATCAATCGTGAGCATTTATGGATGAAATATATATGGATGCTTCATAAAACAATTGTCGAGTCTGTTTTCTGGCTGTTTTCTAGGCGTTCAAATGCAGAAATATTTTGTTAAACTATAATTTTGTTGTTATTGCTGTTACTGATATTTAAGTTTGACATTTTACAGCAGTTTTTCAGTTGGGGATTAAACACAATTTAAGTTTTTAATTGCAGCCATCAACAGGTAGTTGGCAGAAACCTGTCTAGTGATACTGTTATCTAATATTATGCACAATTGAAACTGGGAAGACGTGATACCAGTCTTCGCTGTCACAAGATGAATCATAAAAGCGATAATAATCTCTTGGACTTTGCTGCTATAAAATAAATTGGTTCCTTTTATTACCAAGACATGGGAGTTAATACGCCGTGCATGGCGCCTCTTTTATCAACAAAGTCAACTTGTCTGCCAAGGGTCAGCAGTGAGATTGTTACTACAGGGGAAACCTGAGGACCTGAAGTGAGTCTTCTAATGGTGAAAGTAAAGGAGGGGCCGATGCCCTCGGAGGCCCCCCCATACCTCCGTCTCTGCTTAAACATATCGCCTCTGGTTAGTCATTTCCAAGTCTGTTCTCTTTTCCCCACCGCCTGAGATCTCTGGAAGTTGCTCAAGCTGTGCTGCCCGGACGTACAACAGAATACACGGTGACTTATTAAAAACGAGTGGGGGGGGGGGTCCTTTATGTGAACAAGAGATTTAGTCTCAAAGGTCACATCTAAGTCAAACACGACTCACTAACAGAAATATGTGTGCATATTGCATTGTTGTCACAAATTTGATGTGAGCGTGCAGAAAATGCACATCAGAGAGTCAAAAATCTCCTTTAAATGATTGCAATAGAGCATTATTAACTATTAAAACTGGAGAAATAAAATCCTTTATATCCTTTTGGAATACTATAATCATTTGTTTTAATTATGTAAAACAAGGTTGGATGGTAAAATTCACTAAACAGACTAAAATCAGAAGTTGGAACTCAAAATGCAAAATGAAATCTGAAATATCCTCGCCTCGGGCCATTGACTTTCCGTGCCAAGTGCCGGGTGTCACATGATCCAGATAAGAGTCCGATGAGAGTTTCTGTGAAAGGGCACGGGCTCTTTATTTGCATAGGTGCTTCATGATAAAAATGACCACACCAAAGGCAGATCTGTGCGCCTCTTTGCTTCCTTTAAGCCCTCATAAAAGGGACATTGTTGCTCTTATGAAGCTCATAAAGCTCAGCCTACAATCTGCAGCGCTCATTGTCAGCTTAGTTTCGGGTGTGTTCAGACAGTCCCCAGAGGTCCAATAAAGCACACTAAGATATGTCAAGGAATTAAATCCATCCTTTGCTGGGAAAAGGAGGGTAATTTGAAGTAATTTAATACAACCTAATTTAGATTTATAATCACTGATACTTTTTTTTTTTTTATATCTTTAAAGATAAAGCAATCTTTCTTCCTGAAATGAACATGGCCAATCATAAAAGGTCTGCATTTTGTATGATTTGGAAACATTTGCCACCATTTTACCGGGTGACTGAAAGAAAAATTGTTTTACACATATTATGTTGCTACATACTTTAAAACAGCTGATCAAATTAATTTTTCAAAAAAGACATATGTGCTAGATATTGATAAGTATTTACAGTATTGTGTTTCAATACTGAATACTCCTACTACTGCCCTGAAGAGGTCTTCTTCTTTTGTTCAATTAGGACACTGCTAACTAATGCATTTTACTTGAACACCTTAAACTGGAGGTTTTCAACAGGGGGTCCGCAAACCCTGGGGGTTCACCGAGGTACTGCATGGGGGTCGTGAAACCTTTTATTTATTTATTTGAATAGGGACAAAGCACATTAATGAATATCAGTATCACAACAAATGTAAATATGCCGGATTATAACTACAAAGCTAGTTTTCATCTGTAGTCCCTAGGCAGGCAAATACATAAGAAAGAACATATAATATACAGTATAATCATCACAAGGAAATGTTAAGAGTTTAGTGATCACATGACTGGTTTGTTTTGGTTGATTAGACTTTTTATATTCCCCCTGCAATTTTTTCCACTAATTAAAATGTCTTTAAAATCACATTAACATGAATTCAACACACTGTAGTAAACAGATAAATGGAGGCGGAAGATGTCTTTCAGTCATCAATACACACATTCAGCGACACACAGGAGCTCTTTCAAGCTGGGCACCGTTTCATTCACAACACCTGTCCCATTAACCAGGAATCAGAATCAGAAATACTTTAATAATCCCAGGGAGAAATTACTTTTATTACGTAACTTCATCTGTAATAGAGTGACTATAGGACCAGTTTGATGTAACACAATTTCTGCAATATATAATTAGGGGGTCCCCGCTCCATCTCGCTATTAGGTTGGGGGTTCTCGACCTGGAAAACGTTGAAGACTTCTGCCTTAAAAAGTAGTTGCTCGAATTGACTGGTGTGGGAACCACTGGACTGAGGTCCAGTACAGGTCAGATGTAATAATGAGTTAAATAATTTAAAGTCACAGAGCAGTTTAGACCAGGACCGGTTGTGCAAAAAAAAAAAAAATCAAATAATATAATAATGCACATAATTATTGCAAAAAAGAACACACTATATGTGCTATTATATCTCTGCAACCTGGAGTCACTTATTGTTTCGCTTACGATTGACACTCTTTCATCAAAAGGGAAAGTAAGCGGTTGGTTTCAGGAATGTGTTGACTATCATAAAACATTATCTAATAGAAGACAATGTTCATGTAAAGCAATTTAGTTTCTTTTACATTTTTTTTAAACTGATCATTAAATTTTTAAAACAATAGATAGAAAAACTAAAAGTTAATTATCAAAGTTTTTAAACACATGAGTAATAAAAGAAGACTGAAATATGACCATGAATTGTTCAGTTTGATCTCTCCCAACTTTCCAACAAGTATTTAAAAACTGATAAAAATGAACATCTTTTATTGCTTGATTAACCGTTTCAGTTGAAGGAGATAATATTTTAAAAAAAGCTTCAATCTTTAAATGTAAGCACATCTAAACATCCGACTCAATTAACAAAACTAATATAGTAGCTTGTTGGCTTATAAGAGATAAAGAACATTTGAAGTCCACAAAGACTTTAGCCTTGTGTCCCTTTTTACCTCTTTATTGATTTCAAATTAGAAATTGGATATGAGTTCAATAACAAAACCTTAGTAACTATTATTTTATTCGCACACCTCCTGAATCAAAGCAAATCAAGTAACGTGCCGCCATTTTACTTTTCCACAGAGTTAAACATTCGTTTAAAACCCTGAAGTTGAGTTATGACATCATCAGAGTGTTTGGATTATTGAAGCTTTTTGCGAATTATATCTTTAATCTGTCGTAATATAAAACAGTAAATCAAAACAAAGAAATACTAAGAGAAACCGTTTTATGTAACAATAGAAACATTTAAGAAAACCTTCAAAACATGGTATTGAGAAAAAAACAGCCACTGAACAGGCTGATGTATCAGGGACCATTTACGAAAAGAGCTCCATAAACCGGTTTATGATCCATCCACTCAGATTACCAAGTTAATGATTGTTTTGTTGAAAAGTTATTTGTTTTAGCTGTATGGTTGCCAGGCAACGGTGCATTACAGAGGTTATTGTTTCCTGTGTATCTACAATGCTATGGAACAGTGTTTGTCCTCTCAAACATGTGTTTTTTTGCATGTTTCAGATCATTAAACTAAATCTAATACTAAACAAGACAATGAGTGAATAGAAAAACAACGTTTTCTAATAATAGTTTTATTTTCTAATTAGATAAACCAAAGTGACATAGTAATTTGACCTACCCATCTTTGCTGAATTTCTTTACATTAGCTCCATAGGCGAGTTTTGCAGCATGAGGTGCTATGTTTAAGGTCAGATCAAAGCATTTAAGCTGGATTTAAGGTCCAGACTTAGACTTTCATTTTTATCTCATTGACATGATGGTGTGCTTTAGATTATTGTCTTTGTGTGCAATCCTTACTAGTTGCATTTATCACCACAAGGTAATGGTCAGGCGTTCTCTGTCAGGATTTTTTGGTGCAGCAGAATTCGTGGTTCAATTGAACAAATACATATATTATAGATATATCAATATATATATATATATTATTATATATTATTACATTATAACAAATAATCTAAACCTTGAAGCTGCAGAGCAGACACTGACAATACCTGCACCACCGTGTTTGACTAGTAGCATAATGTTCTTTTGCTGAAAAGCTATTAGCCTTACAATTAGCATAAAGTTCTCGTTTCAAAAACATGAAAAAATTCTTGGACCAATGCAAAACATTCCTTAATATTCATTGTTCTTTAAATAGATTATCCTTATATCTCTCGCATAAGAAAACATTTTGTTCTCATCTTATTCATATTCTTGAATCTTAGATACTGAAAGCAAACAAAGCAAGAGAAAACGTTGTTTTATTTTGTTATTTTGTTATTTTATGATTTTACGATGTCCCGGGTAGAGTCGATCAGCTGATATTCTGTTGGGAAGGTTCACCACTGTTCCATGTTTTCTTCATTTGTGGATAATGACTTAAACCTTTAACCTTTTCCAGTCATTCAATTACTTTTTTTTCACATTTTCTTAAATTTATTCAGCTCTGAGAACGATTTGTTGCTTTTTGAAAACTTTTTACTGATTTAATTTAGTCAGACAAACAATTTCTCGGTTCTACCGACGTAGACATGGCAACTTAAGCAACATCAATTGGTTCCAGCTTAAAAAAAAGTAGGTAATCACAGTTGCAGGCTGTTTAATTTTTCACATAGTGTCAGGTTGGTTCAGGATATATATTATCCCCTGTAAAAAAAAAAAAAATGCCTTTTTTTCTGGTGTTATCTTTTCAAAGATTTTTGATGTCTGAGACACTTAAGTGGGATACAGAAGTGTACATGTATTCACACAATAAAATCAATCCAGATAATTGCACAGCTACTTGTTACAACATCAGCAGTAAGACCATACAGTAGTCTCTGTTCTGCAGACTGCAGACAGCTCAGTGAGAAGCCATTTGATATCAGATCACACGGTGTCACACAGGATCCTGTTCAGATAATCATTAATTTAGCAGCTGAGACCAAGGTGTCAGGTGTCGCTCCAACTCCTCACTAAAGAGATGAGGAGCAGGTGAAACAGAGCAACAATGGCTACGCTCAGCTTTCTAAGAAAGGGCCTATAGAGCAGAACGTTGTGTACATAAGGAGAGCACACTGTTATTTGTACGTTTGAACTAATGGACAGAGATTAATTCAAACACAAAGCTGCAACCAAAATCATGTTTGAAGATAGTCTTTTGAAATCATTCTTTTGTTATTTTAGACATTAAATTAGCCACTTTTTTTTACTCTTCTTCTACTTTTATTTGTAGCAAATACAGCAGGAAGTGGAAGCCAGCCAGGGTTACAATGCTCCAAAGGACAAAGCAACTTATCTTAACCCTACACCCACACACACCATGACAAGCAACCTGCATTCCATTTATTTCTATGGCGTAACCCTGACTCTAAACTTAATTGTTACAAATGCATCCTTATTCTTTGCCTAATCATTTCACTCCTTTTCTTTAAACCAAACCCCAAATCAACACTTTTTCTGTATCAGGGCAAAGCTTTGTGTCCCATGAGGAGCAAAAGATCCTCACAATGTAGTAAAAGTATAGAAAATACCCACTGTTTATTTTTCATTTGTAGTTAAGTAAAAATATACAGCAAAAATAGCTAGGAAAATAGCATTTGGTAACTCCAATGTGCAAATGATTAGAACAGGATTGTTTTTTATGTGTTATGATTTTTTGCCTTGTGAAAGTTAAAGCTGAATATCCAGTTAGTAAGCTTATCTCTTTTATAAGCATTAACTTTATCTGTGAAGCACAGAGGGCAGACAACAGTAGCTTTATGGTAGCAAGCAGTGAGGCTGCAATACATGCAAAGGATGGCTCAGAAATTGATCTCTTTTCCAATTATGTAGATTATTAAAAAGTATAATCTCTCCATGTTAAATATGTTAATAATCATTTATGTTACAGCACTAAAATAAAATACAGTTTTTATAACTGTACATTTAGAATTTAATTTCATCTCTTTGTAGAGAGTAAAGTAAAACTTCATATATAGCATTTTCTTGCAAATGTATGTTCATGTAAATCCCTTTATTGTCCCAGTTTGGGGAAATGCGCTCTCTGCATTTAACAAATCCCCTTGGGGAGCACAGGGCTGTCATTGTGTGGTGCCCATGGAGCAGTCTAGGATTAAGGGTCTTACTCAGGAACCCAGAGTTGCAGTCTTCGGGAATGAGTGGGACTAGAACTCAGAACCTGCAGGACCGCAGCGCAATGCCCTAACCACTAGACCAACATTCCCCTCTTTTATGTACCGGTAGTTCTAAAATTCTTTAGAAAACTTTAATCTTTCATTTATTCTGGATATAAATAGTAGATTTTCTCCAATGCATTTTTAATATTTGTGTGACTAAACTGTGATTCATTTTGGGTAGAAAATATTTGCCTGTCATTAGCCATCTTGGAATAAATCTTTGCCACATACTTTGTGACATCCCTGGTTGACTGGGGAATAAAAGAAAGTAGATTTGACTGAATGGTAAAGGCAGGCTTAATGGTTTACTCTGGTCTCTGCAGGCCCGTCCTCCAGTCTGTGTTGGTGCCATGGCTGAGTCAAGCTGGTGGAAGTTTACCTTCTCACGCAAGAAGAAATCTGAACCTAAGGTTTTGTATGAAATCCCGGCAGAGCATGGAAGCAACAATGAGAACAAAGACCAAGCAGGCATCTCTCCAGACAATAAGGACAGCCAGTTCAATGCCAGACTGGAGAAGATAGTGGATAAATCTGCCACCAAGGGCCGCCACGTCAAAGTGTCCAACTCCGGTCGCTTCAAGGAGAAAAAGAAAGTTCGGGCCACGCTGACAGAGAACCCAAGTCTGTTTGCAGAGCACAGTAATGAGAATCATAAAAACACGACGGACAAATAGCAAAATACACCATGGCAATCACAAATGTGTCATAAATCACTCACGTCTTTGACCAAGGTTCAAAAACACACCCGTTTTTGTCACAATGTACCAAACCCAAGTGAATACCCAAACTGAAACTAACAACAATGAGTATCTTAAAACCAATCGTCATATATTCAAAAACCATATCAGGGACTGGTCCTGGAATCACCTTTCTCCAGATTGTAAATGTTGAATTCTAAAACCCAATGTTTTAATGGTCTCAAGCATTTTTTATGTTTGTGCTGGTTTTATTATTATTGCTGTTGTTTTTTTTTCTTTTTTCTTTTTTGAAACTAAGCGTTAATATGAAGTAGATTAACTGCCTTTGTGTTGTGTAACAGTTATTGGTTTCGTTTTTTAAATTAGACACTATAAAAAAAAATACGGTCAATTAAGCTTAAATTTGATGGAGAAACCACACAAAACAACGAAAATATGAGATGTCAGACAATATGTTCTATGCTTTTTGTAGCCCCAGAAGATACTTGCTCTTACAAAAAACTGGTTTCTAAATCCAGAAAAGATTTATCTAAATTCTTTGGGGAAAAAAAGAAAAAAAACTTCATCCCATAATTGCATAATTGTTTTATTTTATTTTTTTTGTAAGGGCTCTTTATCTGTTTGTATAGTTCTAATAAATAGTCATTTAATGAGTTTTCTATTAATCAAATACAAGTTTATAAATTTTGTAAATGAACTTTGTAAAGATTTTCGGGGCTAACGTTAATTTATTTCTTGGAATAAATTGTTTCAACATTTTTGTCGAATGTTATTTTAGATATACATGAAACAACAACAATTATGTTATTGTCTGGAATATTTACTGGTGAGACACAACGACAGCCACCTATTTTTTCAGAGGGAAGAAGCTTACAAATTGTATTATTCATAGTACTTTTATAGAGTAAATCACATTGCAGTGCACTTTTATGGAACTTGACTTTTTTTATTACTTTTTTTAAATTTAGAGGATAGCTCATTAGACACTCGTGTACTAAACCTCCATTTGGTGCCTTCAATGTCATCTCTAAATAGTACGTATTTTTATCTAGACAAAAAACTACAAAAAAGGAAAATGTTTTTTTTGTGTGTTTTCAATAAAGTCTGAGCAATGTGGCACAACTTGTTGCTGGGAAAATCTGGGAAAGTTGTTGTTTTTGAAAAATAAAAAGAGCTCTGTCCTTCTTTGAAAGTCATATTTTTTACTGGAACAGAAGATAAATAAATATAAGGCAGCTGAATTTAAATCTTCACTTGTCTTGTCTGTTTATAGTAGTATAAATATTGCAGAAAGGTTCAGGTTGAAAACTGAGAATAGGCTTAATTCCAGTGTTATGACTCATCTAGTATTTTCTTTATAAATGAAAAATTAAGAGAAAGTATGAAATTAAAAATTGCATGTTTTCCCTGTGAATGTGTGGGCTCTCTCCAGTTACTTCAGTTTCCGCCCACAGTCCAAAAATATGACTCTAAGGTTAAACTGTCCTTAAGTGTGAGTGTGCGTTTGCATGGTTGTGTGTCTCTGTGTCACCCTGCAATGTAAAGGCAACCTGTCCATGGTCTACCCTGCTTTTCTCCCATAGACTGCTGAAGATAGGCAATGCCCCCACCTCGACCCTGAGTCATTAACTGGGAAAAGATGCATGGATAGAGCAAAAAGTTGTCTTGATGCTGCTGCTTAAGTAGTAGACTTCATTAAGAGACAAGAACAGCAATGACAATAGTTTCAATTTTGGTTTTTTACCACCTCCATCATAGGAGTTTTGAACTGTTTTATTGACCTCCGGGCAAGCACTTTTAGGTGCGAAAAAATGGCCTCTCTCAGTGCAAATGAAGACAAAAATATGCAATATCCCTTTAGTGCCAGAAGTACATCATATCTCTAGTTTAAAAAAAAAATCTTAAATAGTGTAATGTTATTAAAACACATCCAATATACATACCTTTTCAAATAAATACCAATAGTTAAACAGTATTTTGACTTGATTTTGACCCTGTGATTTTCTCTGTTTTAAATTTCTCTAAGAACATTATTTGCCTCTATACCTGTCTATAAGTCGTCCATTTCTGTTTTAAATATAGGATTTACTCAGAGATCAAAAGGCTGTGAGGTATTGCACTAATAAATACTTACAGATGGCAGAAGTTACTTATAAGAAACTTGCAATCATATTCAATCTGTTCTCAGCAGTTTTATTCTTTTCAGAGGTGATGTGTAATTTCTGATAGTCTTACATAATCCAAGCTAACTTAGATTTTCATCCACCACTGGCTTAGTTTATCTAATATTTAAAATATGACAAACTAAGCTTTTAGTAGTTGCGTTAAATTTTGATTCTTCTGTCACATTTGTCTTGATTCCTTATCTGTTGGTAACTGAGGGAAAATAAATCCAGCACATTCCAGTTTCCTTTTCAGATACATAAACTGTAGCCCCAGGTTAAGTTTTTACATTTGACTGGTAACAAACAATGTGAGCATTCCTCAAGGCTGGTAATGTTTTAAACCCCACATTAGCAACCAGGGCGTCTGTTTTATCTGGAAGTCTCACAGCATCATAGCTCTATCATTCTTCACCACCATTTTGACCTGTGGGGCCTCTACTTCCTATAATGCTCAGATGTTTCTGCACATTTTACCAGCTACATGGTTATGAGGCTCCATGCATTCTTTTCCTGCAAGTGAAATGCTCTAAAGCAATAAAACAAATGACAATGAAATGTTTGCCATACTATCTGCCATTCAAATTTACTGTGGTGTTTGTCCCTGCACCATGCATGTGGGGAGACAGTTCTCTGGCATGTTTGTACACTATAGTTCATGGTGCATTGTACATAGAGCTCATCCTCAACCCCATCTTGGCATTGTTTACCACAGCTCCATCCTGTTGCTGCCAGCATATCCATTGCCATTGAGACAGAATATCTCAACTAAGAAAGAAGTGAACTTGTGGCTCTGGGATAGAGCCGCTGTGCTACAGGATTGTTTTCAGTTTCCATTATTGGCAGGTCTTCAGAGAACCAGCTACATATGAGTGACCAGCATTAGGAAAGTGACCTGTTAGCCGAACCAGAGACCCTCGGTACATGCTGAGGTGAGGGCTTTGCTTAAAGCTAGGAATGCTGTGCTCAAGACAGGTGAGGCCTAAGCACTCAGGGAGGCGAGGAAAGGAATAACTGCAGACATTGAAAAAGGCCAAAGCCGTGGTCTGCAAAGCCTTCTGGAGAGCAGAAGTACATGGTACCTGCATCCCTCATTAAACATATCTTGGTGCAGATGCTCTCCTGCACTAGCAGCTGCCCGTCAGGCAGGCAGAAGCATCCATAGCAAAACCACCACACTTAGAAACTGTTTCTACCTCACAGCTTTTAGACTACTGAACTTTAACTGCAGTTTAATCTAGTTCTCTCCCTTTTCTTGAATATTAAGCTCATTGAACAGAGAATTTGGTCCAAATTTGAGCCACAAACATGCAAATATAAATTGTTATAACATAAAGTAACATAGTTATTTGGTCATATAGTGCTATTATGTAGAAAGGCACCCATATAAAAAGCTGAAGAAACAGTATTCTTTTCAAGAAATAGGTATAATATGTTATTCAAGGTAGAAAAATTGTTTAAAACTTAAACTTCCAATCATTCTCTTCTTGTAAATGGTGTCTGTTCAGTTGGCTGATTATTTCTGAATTCAGGAGGAAACTCTAAGATGGTTTGTGCTTTAAGCAAGTTGATAGAAGTGAGATCATGTTATAAAGTTTGCCGTTTCCCTTGACAGTTGCTGGTAGGTTTCGTTGACTTGGTGATGGTAAACGGACACTAGCAACTGACTCTCAACTCGTATCTGCTGGTCATTGTTTAATGATGCAGCACTGCCAATGCAAGCTCATTAACCAAATTCTGATATCGAAATATACATTTAAGCTACAAAATGTAACTTTTCTCGGGTGTTTTTTTTTTTTTCTGTACATATTCTGCTGCCACCTGCTGGAAAAATGTCAAAATTGTGTTGCTTAAAATTAAACTTTATTACAGTTTAAGAGTTTAAGTCAAAGATCACACAGTGAACAACTTTACAAATTTTACAAGACACGTGGTAATTGGCACGGTATTTGACACAATCAGCACTTTTAATCTCAGCATTAAAAGGCAAATATAATCTACAACAATCATTTTATCAAACTTGAAGTCAGAACTTTTTTTAATTTAAGACAAGTCATACCATTTTTAAGAATTTCTTTCAAGAAACATTTTCATTAAAATTAATTTCTGAAGGGATTTTATGACAGTCCCTGGTAAGAAGCAGAGGTAAAATGCTTAATATCATAAAGTGTAAATGCTAAATAAATGGCTATGACATCAATATCATTCATGAAGTTTCTTGAACGTCAACTTCAACTTGAATATTTATTGCAACTGGAAAAAAATTGCATGAAAAGTTTTCTTGATAACTATTATAAATGCCTTTTTTACTAATTACCTTTCCAAGTACTCCCAGGAAAAACATTAAACTCAATTCAGCAATCTTCCTCAAACCACCTCTGCTCCTATTTAAAAATTATTTAAGACACACATAAGGTGACATCACATACAGAGCCTTTAGATTAAACTCGCACAATTTATACTATTTCACTATTTTCACATTGTGTCAACAATATGTTTTATTTAGGAGTTGATGTGTTAGACTAACACAATGATTATAGTACCGTAATTAAACTTAGATGCCAAACGCAAAACTCTGTAAAACTTCATCTTTGCACATCACCATTAATACATCATCCCAGCTGGAAAAAATGGTGACTGTGTGGATGGTTGTCTTAAATTACCTTTCAACTGAAATTTTCTATGTAAACTTGCCTTGCCTTCAGAAAGGGCTGCATACATATGCATATCTCTCATATTTTTCTTTACAGCAGTTATGCACTTCATTAGGCCCCTCCCTAATCGAAGCGCCCAAAATATAACATTTAAAATGGGAGAAATATACTGAATGGTTGGAATATTTTTGCAAAGACAAGCTCTGACTCTTTATATGATGTATATAGTTTGGGTTTGCACAGTGCAGTCAGGTTGCTTCAACACACAGTATTCAGATGGTTCCTGTCAGAGACTACAGGCACATTTGACACAGATTTAACAAACATCAAATGGTTTTCCAAAAAGCTATTTTACTCGTTGGCTACTTCTTAAGTTCGTGATGTTCTGGATGGAAAATCTGTGGAGGGAGTTCTCATGGAGAGAGTCTCTGGTACACCCAGCCACCCTCGGCTTCGTGCTGGAACTCCCCCAGCTTCTCTCCGTCCTTCAACTTGGTGAAAACGATGCGGTCGTGGAGTCTGTTGGTCTGACCCTGCCAGAATTCAATCAAGTGAGGCTTGACCATGTAGCCACCCCTGAAAGATCACAGGAAATTTGGAAAGTGATGAGAAAAAAAAAAAAAACTTGATCGAGCTGATATACTTTCTTGTAGATAGATTAAGCATTTGCAAAGTTACTTAAAAAGAAAAGTGCCTTGAAAAATCTGTTCATACCTTATGAACTTTTTAACATTTTGTTACATTACAGCCACAAACTCCACTGTTTATTATTGATGTTTCTAGTTAACACAAAACAATATTCAGTCCCCTGCTGTATTTTATATAACCTCTTATTTTTACAATTACAGCTCATCTTAGCTCTTCATGCAGGGATATATAAATTAATGAAGGGCTTAAAATATTAATCAGATTAATCGATTATTGTAATAATTAATTCTACAAATTTAATAATCTGTAGATTTTTAAATTATTAATAATAATAATTATTATTAATAATAATTAATAATATTTCTGGATGGATCATCTAAATAAGTGGTACTCCTAATTGTCAATCTTTCTGGTAATATGTTTACATAAGGCCGTCCTACGTGCTCGTCCCCAGTTAGCTATTTTTTTGTGCATGTGCACTTTCAGGCATATATGTGTGGTTCTTTGAAAATGGCCGAGGGTCGTAAGAGAAAAAGTGTCTACTAAGTGTATAAGAAGCAAAGAAAGACCTCAGAAGAGGCTGATATATCCCAGAATGCTTTGCGTAGAGAGCTCTCCTCGCAAAGCATTATGGGATTTGCTGTCGCT